ATGATGTAAGTCTTATATGTTTGCACGTCTTTGAGTGTCTTTTCGTGTTACTCGTGTTTTTAAGACATTTATTTCACTTGAGATATTAAAATAAGACATCATTGTGCTTATTTATGACTTTGGGCTAAAAAAACCGCAGCTTCTTTCGGATCCTTCAACCGGAGCAAGGAATACCGAATCGTATGCATCAAGGAACAACTTATTCCAACGCATTCTAGAGAAGTAATTCATTGCGTATTGTTACACGTAAAAGTTACATTTTCAGTTTCCCAAGTAATTCTGAGCTTGATCATTCTGTTGAAGAGAAACATTATTTTTTGATAATTTAAATTATTTCTAGTATTCGACGATATTAAACAAAATATAATACAGTATTAGACAGTAATAAATCAAATTGCACAATTTTTCGAATTTACACAGTCATTTCATTTTTGAATTCTGTCTCATCGTTAACTCCTTGCACTATTACGTGTCTAACTCGTGATGAAGATTTCATTACATAATCTACTAAAAATTAACGTTATTCATTTTTTCTAAATCGAGAATTTCAGTTCTCTGTTACCAAAGTTTAGGATTGCAACTAGATAAACATATGCAAGAAACAATAATTATCTGACATAATCAGGGAAATTATTAAAGACGAAGTGTTAATGATAGAAATTGCTTCTAAAAAAAAATCGATCACTGTACGTCACATCGCGTTCCGTCGTTTACCAATATCGAATCGCTGAACGTAATTTATGGAGACTTTTTCTTCGCAGAATTTCACGTGTCGCCTCCGACCAACGCGGTGGCAGATTTATCTGCGCGCGGATAGCCACGTGCGACCTATTAGCATCGACTCGAATCAAATTTCCTCGTACGCACAGGTTTGCTCGATCGACTTATTGCGCGCGACGCATGTATGTTCGCCCGACAAGAGAGATTCGACTCGTTTTTGTTTTACTCGCGAAATCGTGCCAACGAACACACCTCGCGATGCAAACGTGGATTCGGTATTTGCTCGGTGGGCTGCAGCGAGTAGACAAATTCAGCCTCAATGACGGTGCAAATAAGTTGATTTTTGTCGAGTGATTGCTAAAATTGCACACGCAACTTCTCTCCGCCATTTCCGCGTCTTATTTGTTCCTCATCTTTCAAGGGAGCCCAAGTGACTGACACATGCCAATTATGACAAAACCTTGCGCAAGTGTTGAATAGACCTACTGAAAAAAGCCGTATAACTTTTTTTCCGAACTGGCTCTTCTACGCAAGGATTTCTAAATCACAAACGACGAAAGCTATCAAAAAGTAGTTCGAATAAAAGTTACATCGCATTTTTAGACTCATGTGCGAATTCAAAATTGAAATAATTAACATGTATGATCACTGCGAAATTTTGTTGAAAAATGTTTTCTTTGATTTCGTAACGCAATGTTTTTCTTTTCAACAAAATTAATTAATGAGCTAAAAAATACTGTATAAATTTTATTTGTACTTTTCGATATCATTTATCGTGTGCGGTTTATACGTAAAACACCATTTTTATTTCAAAAGCGACGATCATAGGATAAGAATTGGGATATTGATTGACTGTGAATTTTATGCATTCGTGCAAAATGCAATTTTCTATTCGATACTCGTCTCTTCTTCGATCCTTTACGCAAAGATCAACAATCCAACTATTATGTTACCAAGTAACGTTTGCTAAATGAAGGCTGAAGCATTGAAACAATGAAAGTTCTGGCTCGAATGCGACCTAAACGTGTTGCATGTAATTAAATGAAGCCTAATAATCGACGTAGTCAGACGTCGCACGGGATCGTCGCGCGACGCTAATTGCAAGATGGATTACGATTGAAACGGTCCAAAACAATGACTCGATAGTTAATCCAGCAGGGACAGGCATATTCTCGATTCATCCAGTGGAGCCGTTTTCAGCCGAAACATTGAAATTAATGAAGTCGTCTGACCAGGGTTGCGAGCAGGGTAAATTAGAGATACATGGCAACCATTAGAATACATAACGAGGACGTCATGGTGGGAAGCAGTGCGCGGGTGTGATGATGAATCACTGCCAGCTAGATCACCGTGAAGCACGCCCAAGAATATTATATTCAGTTTACTTATTGTTGGCCAAAATGTTTCGGGTGCCGTTTCTCTTCCCTTCTTCTTTCGTCGTTTCAACGTCACCCCTCGGAATGACTTAAGTTTTTCTACGAAACGCGTTGAAGCGAATGGAAATGAGGGTGAAAGGTGTTGAAGGTGAATCGAGTTTCCTTTCATTCGTCATCGTACCTCGTTATTTCGCTCTGTTCTGTACCGAAGCAATCGATCTGACAAATTTTAACTGCATAAAACTGAACGGTTAATTATAAATCCTGTCCAAGAGAGTATTCATCTTTTACTATCTGTTAGATTTTTGTCATAAACCACTGCTGGTCGTTGGAGTTATAGCCGAAAGAACCAAGATCATCAGTTCCTTGATAGTATTATTATTTCCCTGGTTTTTCCTTGATTGATACATTAAATTTTTACTAGCGAGACGAAACGCTTGTACTAAAATCGAATGTCATTATTAAGATGCGGATCTTTGCGCATTTATGGTACCAGTAAGCCTTTGAAATACAAGAAAATTAATAATAACGGTCCATCTCTTTCTTACTGAAATTCCAACAAGCGATACTGCTTATTATGATAATAATATGTTAGGTTCCTGCATAAATTCCATCCGCCACTTCGTTCGCATAAACAGCTTGCCGATGAGCCGCGCATGTATTATACATTAATCCAAATGCAACTATTAATACTGATTGATCTTGTTGCGGACATCTTCAAAGAGTGCAGCAGAAACTGTAAGCTGTAATTATAACATAATTTCGCGATACGAGAAGACTATCGTAAATAACTATGAATAGCGTACCGATCAAAGTAAACGATTACCAATAAAGGTTTCGAATTCTTAGAGAGTCCACTCTAATGAACAGAAGTCGCGAAACTGGTTAGTGCTTACACTGATATATAGTTCTTCAAGTAAAATATTCATCGACCAATCGATACAGACGTTTCGAAGACGAACACAATGGACACTTTGCATCGATCTTTATTCAATCTATAGAACAATGTATAATGTATAGAAAATTGACAGTCGCGATTATATTCTGCCATTTCAGAAAATAAGGAAAAAGAACTTGTACCAGGCGCGTGCTGAAAGTAGCAACATCGGACGATAAAAATGAACTTTCGTGGAAGATAGAGGACCGAGGATCTTTTTTTCCTTCTGTTTTCTCGACGCGTTTCGTTTTCTCTTATTTCTTTCCTCCCCTTCCGGCGGAGTCCTTCGGGTTAGCGTCTCCTCCAGAGTTGAAATATACAAAATGAAATATGAAATAATGGTTCGTGCCTTGTGGCTGGCTAAAGGCACGGGCGCACCCATATCTACGCCCCCATGCGCCTATGTACCTATACGGGACCCTGTGTATGTACGCCGATCCCGTGTAGATATGTACGGCACACCATATACATCCGCCTCGCTCAAGTTTTTCGTTCTTGTCGTGAACAGCTTACGTTCGTATTAACCCTTATCCTTGCTTAATGATATTCTGGCCTACCATACTGGCATATTGAACGCAACTAAGGCAGATTCCATCGTCGTCTCCGGCCGGAGAGTCGGCCAAGCCCTCCTCTAATTCGTATCTACTACGCTCCCCCGACCATTTTTACGCATCTTATCCGTGCACCGAGGGGCAATTAGAGGCCGGTCGCATAAGACGAATTAACGATACACCCCTGGCTAAAATGTGTTCGATCGGGCAACAGCCCGTCGTTACACTCTTCAACGAATCATAACTTTCCTTTCGCGTCTCGATAACCTGCAGGCGATACACCTTCGTCGCTCCCAACTTTTTAACCACAAGAATTTTTCTCGCTATAACCGTAAAAGCGGCACGAATGATTCTTACGTAGAACGATTCCGTAGACTTTCCCGAACGCAACGGTATATTTTTTTGTAACGCAGTAGAACCTCGATTATCGAAACTAAAGCATAACACAGATGTTCAGATAATCGAATAACTCCGTTTTTCTATTACAGAGCGTTGAAAAAGAAGCATCAAATGCTTTATTATGACCATAATCACCTTCCGGAATTTGCTCACATGAATATTCAGTTTCTTGAATGTCACTGCATTATTTATGATTTGCGTTTTGTTCATAAAATTTTAAAGGAGTATATTTCTTTCTCTGATTTATTATCTAAGTTTTGTTTAAATATGTCCTCTATCTATCTTTAAGAAGTCAGAACTCTTTTGCAAGTGGAACAGAATCGGACCGAATTTTATTCGGTATAGAATAGAATTTTCATAAATCTAAAGAAATATTATAATTATATAATATATTTATAAAGTGTCGATTTCTTTAGTTCTAAACATAAGCTTAAGCTTGATCTTAAACATTGTATCACCTATGATGTGCCAAAGGGTCTATACCCATTAATAAATAAATAAATTTAAATACGAATTTTAGATTCGAGGTTAACGCATTGAAGTCTATAGGAATCGTAAGATTATTGTTGGGTTGTGCAATTATACGCGTTTCGCAAAATTTATATGAAATGGTGAAAACTTGCGTTAACTTCGAGTAACACTCCAGTTGCACAGTTTCTAAAGTTTCCTTTTTAACGATTCCAAGAAGAACTGTTTTCCATATTTATGTCAAGGATACAAAAGCTTCAGACAGTACTTCATTGAAATTACCTGAAACAAGAACTGCTCTAAAAACACGGACAGGTTAACAGAACAAACGTGCTGCAAAGCTTTCGTATCTGTTGCACTAAGAAGCTGCGACATTCTCTCGTTACTCACGAAACTTTTCTTGTCTTTCACGCTACCCCATCGATTCGGGAACACCGGTAAGCATAACGACACCGTAGATGTACCACTATCTCTCGGATGTTGATGTCGCGCCGTTGCAAAAACCCGTGGAACGCTCGGTCGCTAACGGACAGGCCGCGTATATTTCAGGAAAGAAATGGCGAGGGTTGACCCCACAGGACAGAAGGCCGTATGTCGAGGAAGCTGAGAGGTTGAGGGTCATACACATGCAGGAACATCCGAACTACAAGTACAGGCCACGACGTAGGAAACACGCGAAACGGACCCCAGGGGCGCCGTCTTCTCCTCCGTCCGCAACCAACACCGCGGGCAATAGGTCCAACCCTGCCGGTACCACGATTCATCATTCCATGTAAGTCGATATCTTCTCTCTAACTTCGTATCGATTTTTCAAGATCAGCCGGCCACGACCGGCGAATTAATCGCGGGGCGCAAAGTGTACTCCCGGGCCCGGCCAGCGTGATATCCAGATTAATTTTATGCGATGCAGATTTTGCAGGAGGGGTGCTGTTCCGGGGGTACGTTGTAAATGCGATGATGGTGCCGCTTAATTTGTTGCCGGCGTGAAAAGAACAGTACCAGTTAATACACTGCTCGCGGGTTACCGTCTTGGGGGTCTCTAACAGGGGAGGGCAAGTCCTTGGGGTCATCGATTTTGGCGAAACTTTATACACTCGTAGATCTCGCTCTCCTGTTTACGCTGAATAGTTTTTTTAGATAACTGTGACTTAAGTTTCATTATTGCTGTGAAATTCTGGGCAACTATCAACTGTTGCACAGTGATACCTTTTTCCAAAAAGCTGGCCACGATTCATAACTTTATAACCGAATTTCAACATGTTATCAAAAATGTACAATTCAAAATGGAAAATCGGTCAATGACATAAGCATCGTTTGTAACTTACTTTCTGGCTATAATTAGAATATGAAATTTAATATGACGATCTTAATTCCAACATCTTCAACATTGTTCATGGAGAGCGTTGATGGGCTACTTGACACTTTATTGCTATAAGTTGCATATCTCAAGAATGGACAAGAAAAGGGCGGAATTTCTCGATTGGACATCATAGTTGACATGTTACTTTCAGTCGTGAATCTTATTGGAGCAGGTCTGTCGATGACTGTCACAATTTTGTCTGCACCGTTACATCGAGGAGGGAAGCCCAATATTTAATTCAAAAATATGTTGCGTCGCTTTCGTGCAAAGTTTATCCGTATAACATATATATTATACGAATGGGGGGTTATTATATAAGTATGTTATTTCGTTAGAAGAAATCGCTGCTTGTTCTCATTGTCTCGCGGCGATCATATGAAGTAAACGTGTATTAGAATGATTTTATCGAATATGTTCAATGTTTGTTGAAGGTCCAAAATGGACAATTACCAAGGCATTCCTCAAATCCCATGGGGTGGCCATTCCCCGATCTCATCCCTGTATCACCAACAGCAGCAACAAGGTATTCAGGAGTACAAATCGGAGAACAATTCCTTGTACGGAAGCCCTTACACGCCTATCATTCACACACCTGACATATCACCGGTTGCCAGTCCCGAACCCGACGGTAAGATTTTCAGCTAACGTTGACTAGCATTCGATCATTAATTACGCTAACTACTGTAGAATCGTGAACATATAGACAGCTTTTGCACAAAATCCAAAGAGTAAGAGATATCTTCACGGAAACTAAATCGAAACAGGCTAACGAAAAACAACTTGCGCCATTAATGGCTGATCTTTATGCAAAAGAAGAGTTTCCTGTATAAATTTCGAAAGCCCAAATAATTGTAATAAGTTTAGTGAGTTGAAAATAATAGGAGTTCTCTAACGTACAATATTTGGTCTGCCAATTTTTGTTGCGAATGCATAAATAGTCGAACCACCGCAATTACCGTGCCCTTCTCTAATCTTAATCAGGCGACGGAACACATCTGCCATCTAACCAGAACCCGGATCCCGAACGAGATCTAATGGAGGGTACGTCGAAACAGCACGGTGAAATGGCCGAGCAAACGAAACGGTATACTTTTATGAACACCGACAATCAACTGCACACAGGTCATGCTGGTGGTACTAGCATATCGTCGTGTCAGAACTCTGGTGCTTACACGGATACCTTAACTTATAAGAAATCGGTAAGTAACATTTCGATCTAAGGTTTCCGGCTGACAAGGCTTGGATTTACGGGTTTCTATAAAGTAATAGATCCGATCAGGAACAGAGAATTGTTTGTATCTGCTTCGCTAATTGCGGATCAGAAGTACGGTTCATTCGCGTGTTCCACGGCTAGCGTTCTGACTAATAAGAGTCGCATTCCTTCGAAGTCTGTGATACCGCGAGTATCCTACTCCATTGTCATTCTACGTAAGTTCAGCTCCTACTTAATCTTGCGTGCACAGGAGCAGATCAGTTAATTGCCTGCCATTGTATTTTATTATTGCAAAATTTGTTAGCGATTGCTGGATCCGCGGATTAATTTGTACAACTAATAGATCCGATGCAGCAGAATCTCGATTGTCCTCTAATATCAGAGTTATCAATTATACAAATATTTCTCGCATGTAATCAACTGAAATTAACCCCTTGCCGTACCATTTTCTTTCCAATTATGATGACCAGAGATTTTTCAATTATAATAATTTTTTAGAAGAAAAAAATTTGTATTTATGATGTGCACGCATTTCTCTCTTCGCGTAGATTAAATATTGTGGAGAAAAGAACAGAATTTTATTGCAATTTAAAAGAACAAAATAACAGGTTCTTACTAGAAAAGTTACGAGTTACACTCGTTAAAGTACAACAAAGATCTATCCTTATTTTCACTATTGCTATTATTTCTGTCTTATATTTTATTTTATTGAATTTATATTTATGTCTTTCTCACTCACCTATTATTATTATTATTCTTGTTCGTTCTGTATTGTTCTAACTCTTTTATAATTATACTCGTGCGATTTGCTTTTATGTCGTCAGTGTTATAATGGGTCATCTCGTATATGTGCACATAAATAAATAATAATTATTATTAAATTAAATTAATAAAGATGAAATCTGTCACTGTAATTAGGTAACTGTTCCATTATCCGAACATTCGTGTCACTTTGCTGAGCTCGGGTAATCGAGATTCTACTGTAACTGTGTACACCATAGATTGAGTTGAAATTTTTAATATGTTACAGGTGAGTTACTTAAATTTCGAGAGACAACCGTCGAGCATAGCCGCAGTTGGCATTGCGAATGGAATGATGGTATCGTGTAATAAACTGCGCTCCGGATTCGAAAACGTTGGCTCTGTGACGGGCACTTTTTATCCGCCGGTCGCATCCCCGCACGATCAGTCGTTGCAACACTACACCAGCACACAATCTTCGAAAACTGCCAACTATTCCATGCAGTCTAGCGTCGAGAGCAACTATAATCCCGTCCAGTGTGCCAATCGGCAACAATCGATGGGACTTCGCGGTGCTGCCGAAGGCTGTTCCGGTAATACTTTATGAATTTTTCCTCAAATATAGATTACCGCGTTTGGTCGGTTGCCAGTCATCAAGGACATGCGAATTACTTCTTATTCCTTCGTTTCTATCTCGCCATGGTTTCCTTTGAAAATATTTTTGGCTAGCAACCGAACGTGTAACCGGAACGTAGTTCCGAAGTTACAGCATCTTTTTCTTTTATTAACATTCAATGTTGTTTCGACAAGCAAATTATATTGCATTTGCTGGTTATTAGATACTTTACAGCCTTTGGTATAGTTTTCTTGTCATTTTAAACTCGGTAAGATCCCCACTCCTCGTGATGAAAATTTAATTCTACATACAAAACATATTTGATCGTCTCGTTTTATTATTGAGAGGAATTATTCAGGACAAAGAAGCGCTAATCAGTGTAACTGTGAACGAAATCGTAGTACAAGGAGTTTGAGCTAAATGGAACTGACTTCTTGTTACGTCAAATAAGAGATCACTTATTACTGCTAAGTGAAGCTACTTTCTACTGAAAACTTTGTAACACAAGTCTAACTTAACGAGATTCCCTCGCCGCTGTTATTTGGACAAAATCACACTAATCCTCTACAGCTCAATAGAAGTTTGAAGTAACATACAGACTTATCATGTTTTTTGGCAACAACATGGCAAAAGTATTTTGCCCTGATACTTCTTCTTAATCAAGGTGGTTGTGCACCGCAATTTTCAACTTTCACTTCACACATCAGACTGGATTCAATTTAGTTTTAAATTATGAATTCATCGTTAATTTACGTCTCGGAATCGCGCGCGATGTTTGCTGCTTTCGAATTACATCAATTTTGTATACCCATATAACAAATTCGTGTCACAGAGGACTAATAACGATTCGCTCCGATGTCGTTCTCATTCCAGGTGTGACCCACCGGTATCAAATGAGCCACCACCAAGACTACCAATCAGAGACTGGTAACCCAGGCCAACAGCATTCGATCCTGGGACACATGGACCCTGGGATGTCCGCGGACGACGAGCAACAGCAGACGCTTCAGCTCGAAAAGTATTTCAAATATTCGCAGCCGACCAGCGTGGCTCACAGCAGCTTGTCATCGCAGAATTTGCTCGACAGCAATCACAATTACGCCAGCGATCTGCGCTATTACGCGCCGCAGCAATCCCAGATGGACATGTCGAACTCTCAATGCATCGTCGACGATCAAAACAAAGATACTCGGTGTTCGAACGTGGGCATCGGCCACACGATGGAGCAGTACCATCAGAGTATGGACGTGGCAAAGTATTCTGAACATCCGTCGCAGCAGCAACAGCAACAGCAGCAGCAACAACAACAACAACAACAGCAGCAGCAGCAGCAGCAACAGCAACAGCAACAACAACAGCAACCTCAGAGCATGGAGCACGTGCCGAAGGCGGACGACGATTTCAGTGTAATACTTGCCGACGTGCGCAAGACATGTTACAGTAGCTAGTGTTCTCCTAGACATTTTGTTTCTATGGGCGACTTATCTTATGGCTGTAGCACCAAGAACCGTAGGTATACACATAACATTTACAAGGAATCCGGTGCTTATACACATCTTTGTACTACGTACCATCTTCCGGTGCTGATATCGTTATAACATGTTAATGGTAGTCATTTATACTCGGCGGAGGAGCTAGTGTGAGGTACCAAAGACTCTTTCGAACGGCACTCAAACAGTCGACGATCTTTCCTTGAAAAGTGATTTTCTCATATTACGGACATTTTATTGTAATTTTTACANTTGCATTTGCTGGTTATTAGATACTTTACAGCCTTTGGTATAGTTTTCTTGTCATTTTAAACTCGGTAAGATCCCCACTCCTCGTGATGAAAATTTAATTCTACATACAAAACATATTTGATCGTCTCGTTTTATTATTGAGAGGAATTATTCAGGACAAAGAAGCGCTAATCAGTGTAACTGTGAACGAAATCGTAGTACAAGGAGTTTGAGCTAAATGGAACTGACTTCTTGTTACGTCAAATAAGAGATCACTTATTACTGCTAAGTGAAGCTACTTTCTACTGAAAACTTTGTAACACAAGTCTAACTTAACGAGATTCCCTCGCCGCTGTTATTTGGACAAAATCACACTAATCCTCTACAGCTCAATAGAAGTTTGAAGTAACATACAGACTTATCATGTTTTTTGGCAACAACATGGCAAAAGTATTTTGCCCTGATACTTCTTCTTAATCAAGGTGGTTGTGCACCGCAATTTTCAACTTTCACTTCACACATCAGACTGGATTCAATTTAGTTTTAAATTATGAATTCATCGTTAATTTACGTCTCGGAATCGCGCGCGATGTTTGCTGCTTTCGAATTACATCAATTTTGTATACCCATATAACAAATTCGTGTCACAGAGGACTAATAACGATTCGCTCCGATGTCGTTCTCATTCCAGGTGTGACCCACCGGTATCAAATGAGCCACCACCAAGACTACCAATCAGAGACTGGTAACCCAGGCCAACAGCATTCGATCCTGGGACACATGGACCCTGGGATGTCCGCGGACGACGAGCAACAGCAGACGCTTCAGCTCGAAAAGTATTTCAAATATTCGCAGCCGACCAGCGTGGCTCACAGCAGCTTGTCATCGCAGAATTTGCTCGACAGCAATCACAATTACGCCAGCGATCTGCGCTATTACGCGCCGCAGCAATCCCAGATGGACATGTCGAACTCTCAATGCATCGTCGACGATCAAAACAAAGATACTCGGTGTTCGAACGTGGGCATCGGCCACACGATGGAGCAGTACCATCAGAGTATGGACGTGGCAAAGTATTCTGAACATCCGTCGCAGCAGCAACAGCAACAGCAGCAGCAACAACAACAACAACAACAGCAGCAGCAGCAGCAGCAACAGCAACAGCAACAACAACAGCAACCTCAGAGCATGGAGCACGTGCCGAAGGCGGACGACGATTTCAGTGTAATACTTGCCGACGTGCGCAAGACATGTTACAGTAGCTAGTGTTCTCCTAGACATTTTGTTTCTATGGGCGACTTATCTTATGGCTGTAGCACCAAGAACCGTAGGTATACACATAACATTTACAAGGAATCCGGTGCTTATACACATCTTTGTACTACGTACCATCTTCCGGTGCTGATATCGTTATAACATGTTAATGGTAGTCATTTATACTCGGCGGAGGAGCTAGTGTGAGGTACCAAAGACTCTTTCGAACGGCACTCAAACAGTCGACGATCTTTCCTTGAAAAGTGATTTTCTCATATTACGGACATTTTATTGTAATTTTTACAGATCAATGCATTTCTTTTGTTAAAAAGGAAAGAGCACCTTGTTTTAGATCGTGACCTGAATTACTGACGAAACTTCCGAAAACTTGGAAGCACTTTCTCCTATTCGGCATATTTTTTTTTCAAATATTGACAACAGACTTTGTTATATATAAGTACAATTGTCCAGGTACATAAGTACAAATATATAAGTACAATATATAAATACAATTGTCGAAATGACCACGCCCTTTATAAATTATGAATCTGTGAAGAAAATAAGCCCGTTTTCGTTGCTCATCTTACTGCTTCTTCCGTCGAATATAATTTAAATAACACTGAAACTGTCGTGAAGCGAAACTTTAACTCTGAAACAGTTTTTGGACGCGTTCGACGGCAGTGTTTCGTGTTAAAAACCGTAGAAAATCATATCCATATTTCGTAGCTATCATCGGCATTATATATATATCATCAGCAACGGATTGTTGAAACTAGCGGCGTAATCGTTGAGCTACTTTTTGTCTACCAACGCACTTATGGTACACCGCATGGCACTGTATATTTACAACATATCACTATATTTCTCAACGAAAAATACATCGTTAAAAGAATTTCCGTAGTGAACTCCGGTGTACGAATTTTTCTTGCGTGTAAACGTATTACATGCTGGTTCTACGGCAGGCTACTTAAAACATGCTAATTTATATATTCATTAAGATTACAACAAAAAAAAGGAAACCACGTTTAGCCCTTAAATCGTGACATTTAGTCATTTTATTTATAATATTCATGGAAAATATACGTAAGAAATAAAAGATGGAACTGTATATTTTTGTAATATATTAATGTTTAACTGACGGGCGTTATAATTTTCATTTTTATACATACCATTGCAATGTTTACAACACCGATCGCAAATGCAATTCATACTTCGAACAAAGAAGAAATGTAAGTGGTATTTTCTCAAGACACTTCTCACTGGAGTTTAGTCGAAGATCTGTTTCTCTTTTAAATGAAATGCGAAGCATCGTAATTTTGATACATGCAAAATTGTCTGTGCACAGCAAAGTAATCGAACCAACGTCACTCAGTCGTGTCATTTCAATCGTGTTCCTGTCAGTTAAACATTGCCGCACTCACACGAAAAGAAGTACTTATCGAAAAAAAAATTGTTACTTACAGCAGTGAAGATATTATCGAAGTACCTTGTTCTTAGTAGACGTACATTAATTAAGTTCGAAACAGTGAACGATACTTCACTGTCACATGTGTATAAGCACGATCTCTTACTTTCCTTTTGTTCAGCTGACTGAATTGAAATTCAACGTGAACGTAGCGTAAATAGGAGATAACTTTTTACTCTCGCATAAGCTTCTACTTTTCAGTCTTTTATTCTTTTTATGTAGCGTATGATTATACGTAGCGTGGCAATAAACGACGACACATTTATCGCGCGGCATCCAATCTAAATATTTTATAAGAAAAACGAAATTTAGAGAAACGTTGCGAACGCTGGGAAAGTACTAAATTACTTTTAACTATTGTATCGTACTTAATAGAGACAATTAGCAACTCATATAGTCCCATGCATTCCTCGACCAGTCTGATTGAATCTCGATTTAGCTTTGTTACGCAGTAACGCTTTCAAAGATTCTCTTCGTTGACTAGTTTTTCCCGTAATTTTCATCCGTATTCATTCAGCGAGCTTTTATTACAGAGGACATTTGATCTCATTTCCACCGAGTTCGTATATCAAAGCTTCACGAACATAAAGTAATAAAGGAATACAAGGAAAGATTGTATTATATAGTAAAAAGACACTCTCGAAGCATTCCCATATTTGTTCTAATTCTTTGAAGCGTTATTGCATGTATACAGCGGTGACCGGTAAAGTGTCGCAAGCCCAGGGTATTATCACAGTAATCAAAGTAAAATTTTCGAATTCATTTGCTACAGATACATTTGCTACGCACCCACGGTTCCGCCTGTCCTAAGAAACGATGGCATAGAAAGCGACGTTTACCTGGTCGCCGCCGCTGCGTTTAGGTTCATAAGTTTTAGATACCCGTAGCGAACCGTTTTCGATTGTGTGAGAAACAGTGATTCGTGCTTTAAATTTGTTATTTAAGGGTACGGATGTTTAAGAAGGTGTATGATAAACACGGTTAACGCCCTAATTATTTATTCATTCTTTTTATTAAATATATATATAAAAAATATGTGTATAAATTACAATGTCATGTGTAAAGTTGAAATCATACTCGGTGTGTCATATCGAATTCTTATTCGGTGTGTATCGATAGAAAAACATTCAGATGCTACAACGCACCCCCTTTCTCCCTTATTGTACAATCACATTCGTCACTCGAAAAGAAAATGAAATCCCTTGCAACCAGTTGTAAATTGTTTATCGTGGTAAATCAGTACGTTTGCTTTTCCCTTTCTTTCCTTTAGAAACGATTAACAATGAATGAGTAAGTCCTTCGAACAGGAACAATTGTTTTATAATATTTCCTCCATTTTGGACCATGGTAAAATTAGTAACTATACCCTCATAAATTCGCGTATGTTTTCGCTTATCTTTTAAACATGCATGTTAATAACACATAATTTATCGACGTGCTAACAGTGTCTCAATCTTGCGATTAATCTACAATTTGTTCGCTGGCTATATAACTTATTCGCGTATGTGTATATACATGTACAAACTTACACAAACGTACGTTACTGTTCGCGAACGTAACTCGTACAAATTATTCCATCGAGCAGCCACAATGGCTTCAGATGAAAATACACTGCCTCTTTTTGTCGTGACAAGATTTTTGTAGATACAGCTTATGTTTGTGCACAAGTATAAACTGCATCTATAATAATCTTTTCGCGATGTAGCAAAATGCTGCAGTGTGCGTTCACCCCTATTTTCATACTTGTGTAATAAAGTTCACGATTGAATTGCGAATTCTTATGCAGCACATAGAAATTGAAATTAATATTGTGATACTTAGATTCTAATGTTACTGTTTTAAATTTATATCGTAAATGCATGAAATCCGCAGTCCATTCATGACAAACGATGTGCAACTTTTATTTCTCTAACAGATGCAGCTGCTAGTAAGAACCCGAGTTCTACCACTAACTTTGCAACACCATCGTTTGCATTGAAATGGTACAAATTCTGTAGGTACTCGATCGAAAGAGTAAGTATATGCAACCCTTTCCTTTTACATTAAAAATTTCTTCAGATACAATTTGCGTTTATAAGGAAGCGCGAAGACTGTGTCTTGTCTGAATACATACTCTAAATTTATTGTTAAATTGGACAGATATTGCAGTCTTGTTAATAGCTATTCGCTATCGAATGTGTATTTTTGTTCTTGTCCTTCGAACGTGTGCCAGGCCACGTAAAAAATCCCGCTTAATGGTAGTGCGATTCTCTAAGCGACACCCCAGGGGGAAACCCGATATTGAGCGATCAGGAAATATCGAGGGAAACCTGACTATCTTAAAGAGCATTCAACGATGCCGGAATAGAAAGATTAGCGTCAGCACAATGAGTGCAAACCCCTGCCGTTCTAGCCCCGAAGGACATCAATTTTCCCATAAGGGAATGCACGAGAGGGTTCTGTCACTCGTCGTCTCTTAAACTGATAATATCATTCGCCCGAATGATATTCGAATTCTTATAATACAGACTATACAATTCAATTTTTGGAAGAGACCTAATATACTTATGTACAGACCTAATTTAGGTGTGTGCTTCCTGAATTTAAACATCCAGTCAAGCATGAAAGTATTTGAATAATAACGCTTTTGTTAAATGAGGTATCTGTATTGAATGTAATACTTCAATACATTCCTGAAACTATAATGAGTTAGAATTACATTAGCAAAGCTTGCATAAAATTTCATTATTGAAATAATAGATATAGTAAGTAAACGTTATTATTGAAACAATGCAAAAACAACTAAAAGAAAAATTACAATTAAAAATTTTGCTAACATGATTCTAATATCTTTAATTGCATCTATGTATACTTATAAAAATTCAAATACTTTCGTGTTCAACTATGCATATATTACAATGTGAATCTTGCACCATATACAATTGGAATCTATCTTATACCGATAAATGGCAGCATTACAAATTATGTATAAAATTCTGTACAGACACGCATAATGCATTGTAGCTTCACACATAAATGACTAATTTACAATATCCTGAATGGATTATTTGTAACCCACACTGTTCTCACTGTTAGCCGTCGTTTACAACCAACAGTTGTAAATGTGAAGAAGGGGCAGTCATTCTCAAATTCGTGAATGATTTGAACGACCGCACGTTATCTATAAAAAATCATCTTTGTGACAAAGTACGTGAATACTTAGAATCTGACTAAACAACCATATATGCATACGTGTAAAGTAGTCACATAATAAAATTTATCTCGCTCTATGAACAGCGATCCAGTTTAATTAAAATCATTTGATGCGATGTGCCTTTTTGTTGCTATTCTTATCACACATTGTGCATATAGTGAGCAATCTTAGGAATGTTTATATACCTGATAAGTTTACTAAACGATCAACTTGGGAATGTGTCGAGATGAAAACACGAAGTGAGATACATACTCTAAAATGATTTTTAGATTCTTCAAAATGAAATTATTTTACTTAAATATTTGTTTGCATTTCTTATACCATCTTTCCCTAGAGTGCATTGATTATTATTTTAAAAGATTACGAATATTGCTGTTACAAATGTATCCATTCAGTAAAATCTATAGATGTGAGAGTACGACTACAAATTTAATGAAAATTGCTTTTAAATTTTGTGATATACCATGTTACTTATGTTTAAAAATATTTTGATATATAATTCAAATAACAGTTCTGAGAAATATTGCTGTAATAAATGAATCTTGTGGGTATGAGTTTGTATACGTGAGCATTGCGAAATTCGCATAATTAATCAAATAAATTCTGCATTTGTATCTAACTAACTTAGAAGTTTAAATTCGGTTTTAAAAAGTGGAACAAGAAAATATTTATGAAAACATGTTATATGATAGACTTAAATGAAGCTCTCCATATTTGAAATAATCCTATCATTCTCTGTAAATCGAAACTTACACACCTACAGTGTTCTTATATGTCATTCATCCCATAAACAATTTTGCTTCATTTTAGAATAATATGAGAATATAAAACACTTTTTACAAGTTTTGATGCCACACTTATATGGAGTGGCAGCTTTTTTACCATCACTTTTTCCTTTACAAAATTTCAAACCACATGGGTACCACCCAATGCATAATTCTAATGAACAAGTACAAGGTGCCCAAATATTTGATGTATCTGCACATCTTGTTACAAATAATGGCTTTGAATCATTTGTACCTTGTGGCGTTAAAGAATTTGTGCTAACATTGTACACAGCTGCCATGAGCGGAAGCTCTGATGATCCTAATGGATAAGAGAAATGCTACTTTATTTATAATTAATCCAAAAGTTATAAAAAAATTATCTTCCGATACCAATATTACAATAAAATATACATTATTTGTACTTGTTAAATGTACTTACCAGGTCTCTGAATCCATTGTTTTATATCTTCATTCCTAGTGTAAGCAGATCCTGCTGCTTCTCCACAAAGAGTGGCAATGTGTTTAGAAATATCTTTCGATTCAGATACATCCAAAAATAGGTCCATGGTATAATTCACATGACCTTTATCTTCTTCTGCTATGCGAACAGTTCCAGGATTTTTCTGTCTTAATTTAGACATAGCATCAGACGATATAAAATCCACTTTGAAGAAGTGGTTTACAAAGCATAAAACTTGATATTGATTTTGACCACGTTCCTCTTCACCCAAAACCAAGGCTTTTATAATTTGTACTTCCTGTGGGAAGATTTTAGTGATTAGTATATGATCGGTAGTATACAGCAATGTATAACATTTAGTTTTCAGTTAGTTACATTTTTGAAGTCGATAAGCTGTGTTACCAAAGTACCATCCGAGCATTGAAATTCTAATGTGATTACATCTTCTGTTACATTTGATGAAATAGTCTCTAATAGAATATCACCACCCTGTAAAATAAAAATTTGATTGTTATTACAGATTTCTGTTACTCATTTTGTTACAGAGTTCACTGACTTTGAGGTTAAAACAAGTTGTCTTAGCATTGGACTATGTTAATTTAACCTATGTCAAACTTTATAAAACAGACACAATCTTTAATGATCGGGGACATGATTAAAATTAAGAAAAATTAACAAATACGTACCTGATTTTTTACATTTATGAGCAAGTGCGTCGTACAAACACCATACAAATATTGTAATAAGAAGTAAACTGTGAATAATTCGTTGAGTTTTTTCATTGTTGCATACTGTAACTGCGCCTATTGCAGTGATGAATATTGTTGCGATTAACTGTAGAAAATCGACATTGATTTGAAAGATAAATACTTTAAATATAACCTATGCGTAAGAATCTCCTACTTGCTCCTACTACACCATACATTTCATCACGGTCACAGAACATACATACATATACATATGCAGTATACATAAGTACATATTTCTGTACATACATTACTTGTGCTATGAAACCACAGAGTGTAAACTACCAAGAGTAGTATACAAATGATTTAAAAGTTGCGCATAGTTTTTTATTAGTAATTATTTCAATATTTTCCACTTATTTCTTGCTTTGCGAAAGGGTATATTTTTATTTTATAACAAAATGAAAGTGTGTTGTCAAACGTGAAGATAAGATTAGTTTAGAAAATGACAAGAAGAATGTATTGATAGGGGTAAGACTAATTTCAAAATGCAAAACTTTAATGCAATCTTTGATTATGATATACATATAATCTATAAACAATAAGAAATTAATAATGCAAGTTATGCATCTAAATTTAATTATTTCTCATAATTACGTATATTTGTTTTATAGACTTTTTACCATCTGATGACCATCCTATTTAAATATCGGAACATCAGTA